CGTCGGGAGGGTCGGGTGTGAGGAGCTCTGCGTGTCCCTGGCTTTCGTGTGAGTGCTAACGAGAGCGCCTGGCGTGCAGAGAAGGCCCCTGCCAGCACAGCTCCCAAGCCCTTCTCCCTGGAGACGAGCAGGGTCACCCGTGGGACCGCGAGTGTTCCCCTTTCGCCAGCCTGAGAGATTTCGGGAATCCGGGTCTGAACACCTTCCCTGTGGGCTTGGCGCTCTCTCACGTCCTCCGGCCCAGAGAAGCCCACCAAGGTCTCCCACAGCTAGGTCTCCATCTGACCCACCAGCTTTAACTTCTTTTTTACACACCAGGTTAAGCCAGCATTAGTCCGTTCACATCTAAGTATAGCACAGGCGGCCGGAGTCATCCACAGCTTCGTGCTTTTCCCACTGTTACGGCCCCATCGAGCTCCTCACAGTGTATTTGGGGGTGGTGTCTTCTGCTTCTGCCCTTAAATACCAATTTCATTTCACCAGTAGAGCTTCAGGTGTTTTCCAGAAACCAGAATAAAAAGCCGGCATCCGTGTTTGACATGGGAAGAGCAGAGCCCTTTTGTCCCGCAGTCACACACAGCATGCGCAGAACCTCCCTCTCTCTACCTCCATTTTTATTGGGCCACAACATTTTCATTGTTAACTGAAAGTCCACTCGGAACATTGTGTTTTAATGTTGTAATCTCAAAAATACAGGCAGAAGAACCAATTTCCTCTGCAGGCTGAGGCCAAAACATTGCAGCTCTCTTTGGGGTAATTATCTGTATTAAAACCGACCAGGTTACTTTTGTTTCTAAAACAGGTTCAGCCTGCAACAGGTCAATAAGTATTGGAATATACATATCTTTAAGGATATGTGGTGATCTGATCATGCAACCTTACACATGAATGGGGTGGCTCTGGATCTTACAGGAATGATGGATTTGAGTGAAAATGCTGTCCATTAAAGAGCAGAGCAGTGTATTATTGGTAACACAGCCTGCAGTAGGAAGGTGACAGCCTGAACAATGAAAATGTCTTACACTCTGAAGTAAAGGCAAAACATAGCTGTACAGTTGTTTGTTGCATGATTTTAGTCCCCTGTAAAGCCATGGAAATCTTAGAATCATGGGTTGGAAGGGACCTTTAAGGGTCATCTGGTCCAACCTTCCCTGCAATAAGCAGGAACGTCTTCAACTAGATTGAGTTGCTCAGAGCCCCATCCAACCTGACCTTGAATGCTTCCAGGAACGGGGCATCTATCACTTCTCTGGGCAACCTGTGCCAGTGTTTCATCACCATCACTGTAAAAAATTTCTTCCTTATATCTAGTCTATATCTACCCTCTTTCGGTTTAAAGCCATTACCTACTGAAAATTCTGTCCCCATCTTTCTCAGAAAGCCCTTTTGGGTACTGAAAGGCCATAATAACATCTACCTGCAGCATTTTCTTCTCCAGGTTGAACAACTCCAACTCTCAGTTTGTCCTCACAGCAGAGGTGCTCCAGCCCTCTGATCATTTTTGTGGCCCTCCTCTGGGCCTTGCTGCATCAGGTCCATATCTTTCCAGTGCTGAGGGCTCCAGAGCTGGACCAGTACTCTAGGTGGGGTCTCACAAAAGCTGGGTAGATGGGCAGAATTACCTCCATCCACCTGCTGGCCACACTTCTTCTGATGCAGTCTGGGATACAGTTGGCTTTCTGGGCTGTGAGTGCACATTACTGGCTCATGTCCAGCTGTTCATCCACCAGTACACCCAAGTGCTTCTCCTCAGGGCTGCTTTCAATCTCTTCATCCCCCAGTCTGTATTGACACCAGGGGTTGCCCTGACCCAGCTGCACGACTTTGCACTTGGCCTTGTTGAACCTCATGAGGTTCACATGGGCCCACTCCTCAAGCCTGTCCATGTCCCTCTTGATGGCATCCCAACCCTCAGGCATGTCAACCACATCACTCAGCTTGGTGTCATCAGCAAACTTGCTGAGCCTACACTTGATCCCACTGCCTATGTTGCTGATGAAGATATTAAACATTACTGATGAAGCTATTAAACAGCACTATTAAACAGAATTGCAGATGTGGGATCTATGCCCTCTACACAGCATCCCCAGAGCAGTCTCTGGTATTTGTCTGACCATGCGCCCATGGCACAGAACTTATTTTCAAGTGATTCAACAGACGTTTGGGCTGATTTCTTTTGTTTTAAAGAAGACATAGAGAAGAGAGAACAATTCAGAGGTTTGCTTTTGCGGTGGGAACGAACTGACAGCAGGCTAAGCGCACTGAGTACTGATTACAGTAAGACACAGAGCTTCTGTGCTAATGATCCCTTCAACTAAATTCCCATGTGACCTAATGCAGGGCCAGGCATGTAGTTTCTGTGTGTGGTTGCTGCCCTCTCTTGGCGTCATGACCAGGCTACAGGAGAGAAAAAAGAATGAAGTTTGTCAAGAAGAGAAAGCAGCAAACCATGCTTACTCAGAGAATATGGAAGAAACACTGTTGTTCCAAAGAAAAGTGCAATCTTTTTCCACATTAGAAAAAT